AGGTACAGCATATATAACCTCTACAAAGCACCATCGATCGATCGATCAAGTCTTCTCAGCCGAAGTAAGATGCCCTAATTGCTCTGTAAGGCTACTCACACTCCTCGAGCTCCACCAATAAGGCCCGTGATCTCCCGGTTTAGTCTCGTTTTTCTTGCTCTCGTGCGTTTCGTTCGAACCGGGATTTTCCGTAAGAAATTGCTCCCAAAACACGTCATTAACTCCCGTCTTCCCGCTAGCCCGCTGTTGTTCCTCCTCAGCCGCAGCCTCCGAATCAAAGCCCGTTTTAGGTTCGGAATTCATGTCGATTTCGGAAATTTTTAACCCCTCAGCATCATCATCCAAATTCAGCTGGGTGTACGATATGCATGGGCTGGGCCCACACTCCATTAACTCCAATGAAGAATTCGTTTGGGCCTGGGCCTGGCCCGGGCCTTCTTCAATACCCATCACCATTTTCTCCCAGAACACCAGAGAGGACTCTAGCCGCTCTATCATTTCCCTGTTCAAAGTCAGAAGGGCATTTTCGTCCAAATTCTCAACCGAACCAAAATCACGCGTCTCATCGCGTAAATAACTGCTCCAGGGGAGCCTTCTCTTTCGATCAAAGGAAAAAGCGGGCCCGCGAAGAGTGCTGGCCAAGGAAGATAACATAGTCGAGTGGCTCCGTTCGACATTTTGTACTCGATCGATTAACAATCTCATTTGCGATTTGAGATTGTTTTGCTGTTCTGTATATCTCTGGATTTCTTTGTTGAGTGTTTCTTTATCGGATCTCAGGCGGTTAATATCGTCTTTATATTTTTTCCTTTCGGCTTCGGTTAACGGAGGTGGTGAGGGTATATTAGGTGTCGAATGGCTGTGAACAGGCTTTCGTCTGTAGATGTTCTTCATGAGATGAGGCTGACCTTTGACGAAATCATCGTTAGCGAATTCCCACTGTTCGGGGTCGACTTTTCTGAAACCCTGATGAGAAAAAACGATTATTTTTCAAACCAAAATTTGTTTAGTGTTAAGTTTACAGCAGAAAAAGATGAAGAAGAAGATGACTCACATATGTGTTGAGCTGCCTAATGAAGCTCGAAAAATTGTTGTGCTTAAAGAATCTAGGCAGAAGGTCTCTCGAAAATTCCGGAGGATTCCAGACGATGAAGCTTTTATTATTTCGACTCCAAGAAACGACAGTGTCGGTTGAAGGATCGTCTACCATCTCGTAAGTCTTTGCAAGAAATGGAGGTAATGAACTCGAGCTTGATGGAGCTTCTTCGGCCATTGTGTAATTTGCCTCAAGTGCCCATAAAAGAATAAATCGCCACTGATTTTTGCCTCGAACTTCGACTATACTTGTCAAGCTCTATATTCTGAATCAAAACTGATAAAACAATCTAAAGATCCCATAAATCCCAATTCAACTTCACCTATACCGTGTAAAAATCCCACCTTTATTCATTTTTCAGAAAAACTATTCCAAACCCAATAAAATTCAACCACCCACAATCGATCTCAACAACTCCAACGATTCATCGTCGATTTAACGTCAGTTTCTGCAAAATTTTCTCCACATCTCAGCAAGCTCTTTCAAAAGTCAATGCAGTCAAAAACCAAGTCAAACAAGCCAATCCAAACCCTCCCAGCAACAACACCCTGCAATTTTGTTTTTTTCAATCAAGAAACGAGAACACAAAAGGCAGCAATCAGAAGAAACCAATCACAAGTAACATATTTTTTTTAATGATCAATCAAACATCAAAGGTTGTTCGAACAGTAATCTCCATCCTGAATCTTCAAGCAAAAGCATCAAAAATCACGATAAACCCAAAAAAAACACAAGCTACCCACAATCAAACACACCACGCGCATTACAAATATATGCAAAATTGAGGATTCAAACGCAAGAGCAACTACTGATGAATTCATTTGGGCAATTAGATCACCTGGAGGGGCAAGAGATGGCTGCTGCAAATTTGAAAGCTTCAACGGTGGGTTCTTATGTTCGTGCAAATTAGGCTATCGGTTTGTAATCTTTTAACAAAATCGAGGATGGGGAAAAGGTGGGTTTTTCTAGGGTTTTCACATTCAAGAATTATCAAAATGTTTTCTACGAAAAAGGAAGTAATTTTCCTCGAGAAGAAATTTCCTTGTGCGATACAGGTCTGGATGAAGGCTCGGATAACATTTAGATTTTATAGGCCCCTCAACTTTTGGCATAATGCATAACTGCCCCAATAGTTGGTCAAACTTGCAATTTGATTCAATCGTTAGTAAACGGTATCTGTAAAGTTATCCTACTCCCTTTGGTAAAAGGTACTTAAGATGATTTCTCACTATTAAAAAAGGCATAATTGACGAGAAAAGACAAATAGTGATATAGTAGTCTTTNAATATTTTTTGAAAACCATTATATTTTGTTTAGGTGTGTGTTCTTTCTTATTTATAAATAATTATACTTTGAGATAGGATTTAACATTTTTTATCATTTGTTATTTTAAAATATTAAATATTTTATTAGACCAACTCCAATGCAGCGCTAGATGTCCACTTTTCGCTGGAGTTGTGCAGATAATTTGCCCCAATGCTGCGCTATTTCTCTGCTTTAGAATAAAGTTATAAACAGTGTATCTCCACATGTGGAGATATACTGTAGCAACTCTACATTTCTTTTTTTTTTTAATGTATTATAATGTAATATTAATGATAAATTTTTGTATAATGTGTATTAGTGAATATATTTTTTATGCTAAATAATTGTGTAATGTATTTTTTATGCTAAATAATTTTGTACTTTTTATTTGTTGATGTATTATAATTTTATTTTGCAATTTTTTAATATTAAAATGATACTATATGAATAAAAATTTAACACACTCAAACAAGTTTATTTCATTAAAATTAAGGTTACAACACACATAAAATCATAGAACATAAATAAAAACAACATGATTAAAAATGACTTAACACACAAATAAACACAACATGATTAAAGATGACATATATGGTCTAGTGTGTAAATTTGCACTAATTCATATATGGTCTAAACTATATATGGTCTAGTGTGCAAATCTGCACTAATTCATATATTTTCAAAAGTAATAGTTTTGATTCAATCGGTACATAGATATATATGTATCTTCTTTAAGAAATTCAATTTATTACAATTATTTTTTAAATGTGAATATATGCTCTAAACCATATATGGTCTAGTGTGTAAATTTGCACTAATTCATATATGGTCTAAACCATATATGGTCTAGTGTGTAAATTTGCACTAATTATTTACTATTTGGGTAATAAACATTTATATAATATTACATATTCATATATATAGCAAATTATTCAAAATAAAAATAAATAAAATATATTTTTATTATTTGAGTAATTATCGTTTTATATAAGATTAAATATACTTATACCAATTTATTTGAAATAAAAAATGAATAAAAAAATAATATATTTAATGTAGAGTAAAATGTAGAGATAAGGGCTGGAGATGAATGTTTAACTCTACTCTAGAGTAGAGTAAAGTCCGCGCTAGAGTAGAGATAAGGGCTGGAGATGGCCTTAAAGAGTGGAGAGTGAATAATAAATATCACATACCCATGAAAAATCTTAATGTGAAAATGAAATAATTATTTTTAATAAAGTAATATTTAAATATATGATTTATGAATAGCTAATGGAAAGAAGACACAAATCGCTAATTCGCTTTTTTCTTCTAATTATCGAATATGCATTTAAAAAGAATAGAGGAAACTTGAAGTAACACTATTGTTTTCTATAGCAATATTGCAGAATATTTTTAAATTATTAGTGGATTGCTTTGGTTTGGTTTAATTAGTACCGTAAAGATGATGTGAACGGTACACTTGTGTAGTGAATTTGCAGTAAGTATTATGATTATCATGGTGAAATCTCAACAATGGCAAATGTAACAAATGAGTTTTTCTTAGTAGAATATTTTCTCTCTCTAGAGTCTATGAGTTCCCAATTTGAGATTTTAGGGTTCTTTGGCTCCTCTTGATCCTCTCTATTCCCTTCTGATTTCGCTTCTTTCTCTTTTGATTGACAAATAATCTTCTATTTCCTCTTCGTCTGATGTAATTTCTTCTTTTCCTAGCCGTAGTTTCGCTTTTCGTGGTTGTCGAGCCTTAGCCGGGAATAGGAGGGTAGAGATCTATAGGGTTGGTTTGTTTTTCCTTTACCTTGCTTAACCTTTCTGTGTTGCATTTCTGTAGGTGGATGTTGTGCTTTCGGATCTCTTTGCGGTGGCTGGTAAGGGTTTATGATCTGATCTCCGATGGCAAATGACTTGGCCAACAGACTGCAAAATTTCCGATTATCTGAAAGGGAAGAGGGTGGGGTTGCACTTACGGAGGATGACATCTGCACTGGTATCCAAGAATGCACGCTTAGCCTTTTCGGACAGGTGTATGGGGAAAAACGAGTGAACTCGCGGGATTAAAAAATACGATTCAGTCAATCTGGTATACCAACCATCCTGTTAGTGCGAGAGTTTTGGGCAATAACAAATTTCAGTTCATATTCCAATCGGAGGAGGATAAGAGGAAGGTCTTGAATGGGAAGGCCTGGTCGTTTGATGGCCAATATTTGATCCTTAAATAATGGAATCCGAAAGACGTCGGTGGACGGGAAGAGGAGAATGTCATCAATTTATGGGTTCAAATCTGGGACTTGCCGATCCACTGTGTCTCGATGGAAACTGGCCTAAAGATTGGTAAACTATTCAACCGAGTTCTTGATGTGGTGGTCCCAGAAATGGGGGGGCAAGGAGGAAGGTTGATTAAAATCTTGGTGGAAGTGAACTTAAAGGACCCAATTATCAGGGGTACGCATATCAAATTGGGTGGATAATCCAGATGGGTCAACTTCAAATACGAGAACCTTCAAAAATTCTGCTACTACTGTGCCCATGTGGGTCACTCGGATAGGAGTTGTGATCTTAAGAAAAAGGATCTTAACATGAATAATCTGAATTCTGGGCAATTTGGTGAATGGTTAAGAGCCACAAAGAATTGCTTTATGGGAATTAGGGGTGGGAGCTCTGGTGAGAGAGGGAAATTGGGAGTAGGAATAGAAAGGGAAATGAGGGAAAGTAAGGGTAAGAATTCTGAGTCAATTGTGGAGAGGAGTGAGACTAACCCTCGTAATACTAACCTTCAGGAAGAAAAGGGCAATGGTAAGCAAACTGATGATCAGGGTGGTTTGGGTGATGAAAATGGGGACACTTTGGGAGCCCAAGAGGGCATCTCATTAGGTGTCTCTGTTGAAAAGGGTTCAAACTTAAATCATGGGGATAGCCACCTACACTCTGCTGATCTTATGTGCCTAGACAATCTTGTCTCTGTCCCTGTTCATATGGCCACCTCTAGACTGCTTAATGATTTAGGCCAACCAACAGTTGTGAAAAAACCTTCTCTAAAAAAACGTATCATTAAAGATTGGAGGAAATCAGTTGAGCCTGAGAATGAAGATGTTAAGCAGGCATCTGTTTTGATTGATAATAAGAAAAGACTTTTTGAGAATGCTAGTGGGAGTGATCCCTCTGGGTATGGTCAAAACAAAAAAGCTAAAAATAATAAGTCTGAAGAACAAAACCTTCAAAATCTTTTGGTGGAGGAAACCAGCCATAACTGGTCCCAAATTTCCAAATGAAAGTTTCGGTGTGGAATTGTAGAGGTCTGTGAGGACCCTCTACAATTTCCCAAATCAAAGAGATCCTTAAATCACACCTCCCACATTTTCTTTTCCTTTCAGAAACTAAAAACAAAAATTGTTTTGTTCAAATTGTTTGTAGGAAGTTGGAGTTAGAGGATAGGTGGGTGGCTGTTGAACCTCAGGGGACTAAGGGAGGTTTGTTTTTGTACTGGGATAGCAGTATTTTGATTGTTGATTTAATATGTAGTGACTTTTGTATAGAAGTCTGCTTCCAAAATCCTGGGGATAGTAATAAGGTTTGGGGGATTTTTGTTTATCTTAGCACTGATAAGAATGCAAGGAAGTATCAATGGCAGACTTTGATTAGGCATAGACTTATGTG